GAGTAGCTCCCTGCTAAGTCCGCTTATGACTTATTTTTGTTTTAAGTCATTTATTTTTGTTTAAATAAGTCGTATGATTTAGTTTTAGTTGTATTCTTTTCTATACACGATACGCTAATAGACTCACAGGCATGATAAGAGCTTGAACAAGGACAGACTGATGAACAGGCAAGATAAGATGGCACAAGTTGGATTAATTATACTTGTTCATTTTGTACTATTAGAAATAATATATAGTATTCATTTATTTTATCTCATCATCAGCATCTAAAAATGTTAGTTTGCCAAAATTCCCATTTGTAGTTAACCAGAGTAAATTTTATTCTGTTCCTTTTTTCAAAACAGTCCTTTGTTTGGAAACTCTTTAAATTAGTGGTACTAAGCAGTGTGTCTTCAGCTTGTGGTCATGTGGAAGTGATTTTTTTTTTTCTCTTATCGAAGGCTATTGAGATTTGGGCACTTTTTTTTCCCCAAGTCATAATGGATTGGAGGTGGTGCACCCCTAAGTTTTAGCACCCAGCACAGGGCCAGATACAATTAGACTGAATGCTGGTACCAGTTCTCCCTTGGGAAGGAGAACAATCAAGGCACCTGAGTGGGAAGCTCTGCCTTCGAAGAACCTTTGGGCCCCGCTAGCTCATCCCTTTACTTCTTAGACAAGAAGCCATAGCCCAGTGAAGGAGGGATCTGAGGCCACGGGGACCTGACTGGAATTCCAGGGGTCTTTCTGACTCCAGAGTTTATGCATTCTTCTCTCCCTAGGCAGCCTCCTGAGCCTCAGTTTCCCTGACAGCAAAATGAATAAATTGAACTAGATCACCTCTGAGGCCCCTTCCATTTCAAAAATTCTTTAGGTCATTCTTCTTCATTTAGACCATGAAAGTCTCCATTGACCATATCCCTGTTTATATTTAGCTTGGTGCACCTGCTTTGAAAGGAGAGACTTTGCAAAATAACGTCTCTTCCTGAAATTTGAAGTTTCAAAAAAAAGAATAAAGAAGAGTTCTACAATGAAAGCTAGAATGTGATGCCAATAGCACAACAAATACAAATGATATTCTTTAAAAATTCCCAACCATACGATTTAATTTTATATTTCTTTTTTTCTATTTAAAAGAAAAATAACACAAGCTCGAAAAGCAGTAAATATGTAAAGGGAAAATTTGTCAACTGATATTGGAAGATCTGACCTAGGTCACACATAAATCTCTCAGACAAGAGCCGCAGGGCAAGCCATAATTTCAGAGAGTAAAAGAGAAAATGAAAGCTATAGCTGGTGTCTTCTCTATGTTACGTAGGTGGATTCATTTTAGTTTTCTGATTGTGCTTCTGAGTATAATATAAAAGGGCTGGTAGCCAAGTCGGTTTTACCACTGTATGTAAAAAGTACCTCCACAGAGCTAGAAGCATAACATGAGACTTCCAAAGTTGCTTTTTCTCACCAGAGTCATTGACTAAATAGTTGAAGCCCCACAAGCAAACTTTTGCTTGGCAATGTCTTTTCCAGGATCATTTTCCAAAATCATGTTCTAGGAGCTTTTCTAATTGCCAACTCTATGGTCCTTGTAAGGAAATAGGTGATAAATGTTACTGCAGTGATACCACAAGACCTAACTGATACGTAAGCCTGCCTGTTATGAGGTCATTCCTCCCTGTTTAAACACATAAGGGTCTGTCTTACATCACTGTCCCTTCTTGGTGTAGCTTAAAATCTTGGATCTAAGGACTAAAAAAGAAAAAAATCTATACCCAGAAGAGAGAAGATGTTCATCTAATTAATATATCAAAATGCCAGAGACTGATTAGCAAAGTGTGTGACTGGAGCAATTATTGTTCTGTTCATCGTCCCAGAGTACTAGTTAGACATAGAAAACTCAACACAGCCAAATGTACAAACAGGAATGTGGACTTGGACAAGTTGGTTATAAATAGCATTTCATGTGTTGCAAGGTACAAGCAGTACATCAGCCCTAATAATATTATCGTGTCCCTCTGAACTCGGCTTTCACAGCTAAGCATTTGGAAGGCAAACCCAGAATAAAGGGAGGCATTCACAAGGCTAACATTTTATACTGAGTACCTTTAGTACCACGTTTAATGTGCCATAAAACTAGGGGTTTCACTTTTTCATGAACTGTGTGCAAAAGCAGGGCTGCGACTGGAGGTCGAGTTCGTTTGGATCTGTTTTATGGTTGCTGCGCCTGTATAGTAATGTGATCTTGAAAAAGGTAAACAACAAAGAATTTAGCAGTGAAAAATATGCCTAATATAAATACAGTCGAGTACATGGCAGTTCAGAATTTGAAAAATATGACTGTGGCATTAAATTTTCTGGTGGAATTAACAGAGGAGCAGAACATAGCCTTTAAGGCAATATATCTGAGGCAGAGAAAGGAGATCATACATCTAACTCTGTGGTCTATGTGGCATTCATATAAAGAAAAGCACAGTAGCTTTATTTAATTGAGAAAATGAATCAATTACAATGATGTTGCATCATCAGATTCTTGGGAAATAGAAGATATAAGTCACCATGTTGTGTAACAGTGTTAAAAAGTAATTGAGTATCTTAAGCATTTTGAATCAATTTCAGGTACTGGCACTGCTACCTTAATACAAAATTTATGAAGATGATTTCATATAATATGTTGCTATCAAAACTGTGTAATAAAACCTGGTAACAGCGTCCCCCTTTGAAAACCTGGGCAAAACAGTATAGTTACAAGATCATAAAAAAAAGACTTTGATATTGGTGTTTCTCCCTTTCTTGTAGTAAACAGCCAACGTTAAAATAGTACAATTTTAAGTTGTCTTAAACCATGCGTTTATCCCACCATATAAGGCAAGGTGGAGACATTCTCTAAGATCTCACTCAGTTCATAAGGAAATGTTCCCCCCATCAGTTCCTTTGGTACACATCACTCATGTTACTGGGGACAATGTCTCGCAGCCCATTGCTGAATTCATTTTGAAACATCTCACTTAGAATGTCTGCTGTGTGTTTTCCTCAGAGAATGTTGTAATCTGTGACTGTTGGAAATTTGTGAAAAACATTCTCTTTAATGTCAAAAATGGATTTCTAATTCTTTGTTCATTACAGGTAACTCTCCTGTTGAAATAGATGTATCTTAATAAGAATGCAGGGGAGGGGGGGATGTGGAGTATCCATGTACACTAAAAAATATATAAAAGCAAAGGTATCTCATTGGAAAAGTTACCTGGGCTTTTTAAGATTTTTTTAAAGGTGGTATGGCTTGTTACTAAAATCCTTAACCACTTCAGGGTGGCAGTTAACAGCTCTGTCTTCCTTTGTAATGTAACTCGTTACCTGTAGAGCCTTATCCAAAAGTCCTTATTGACTAGAGAACAAGGAGCAGTCACTTAGGACATTAAGTGGGAACTATCAAAGTGGGCTAAGAAACAGCCAGTCAGCCTGGGACAAGGTTTCAAGGAGTGGCATTTGCGGAGGGGGTGATGGGGAGCCCAGAGCAGCAATGAGTGGGTGCCATGTGCAGCTGCAATAATACATGGAGAAGCACTTTTAAACACTCAAGCACTAGGCAGAAGGGTCTGCGGAGCAGCTATATGGATGCAAAAGAAATGCAAAAACATAGCTTCTGCCCTTGAGACGCTTACAGTCTAGTTGAGAAGAACCCGCATGCCAAAAGTGATCATTTATCAACTTTAGCATGCCCAATATGTATGCAAATCTAATTGTTTTTAAGTAATGCTATGACTTTGGGCAGATCCAGTGCAGATGCTGGAGAGAAAGGAGCCTTGAAGAAGCCACTGCCTGTTCCTGGGGCCTTGGGGCTGCCCATCCTCTGGGAGGCCCCGCTTCCCATCACAGAATAGAGATGATCACTCCTGTCAACCACAGGGTGGTTGTGCAGGTCAAATGAGAATGTGTGAAAGAACCTTGCAAAAACACCAGTAAAAACATATAGGAGATTATTATTATTGGGTTGTCGGAAAAGTCATGACGCAATTTTGCAATGAAAAACATAGAAAAATACATCATGACTTTTCTGACAACCCAATATTTTCCCAATATTTTACCCACTGATTGGAGCTCAGGTATCCTGGTAACCCACTGACCCTTCAATCATCCTATTTGGTTCCTGAAATCTTCCTTCTTGGGAAATTTAGAACCTGGGACTCCATTTTCATTGAGTTTATAATAACTGTAGGCATTGCGGGGAGGGACATTGAAGTGTTTAATACTTTAATTACTAAGTGGATATTGTACTAATTTGGTGTCAAGTATTAGTAACTTTCTAAGAGAGATGATGGTTTATCGGTGTTAGATGTGTGAGCCCCTGGCTGTTCTAGAATGTTGATTAGGAACAAGCATTTCTCATTTCATTCTGCTTTTATCCCCTGAAAAACAGTGTAAAACTTGCCTGAATTTGATTTTCCCAGAGAGCATTGCTGCCCTGGAAATAGACTGAAGGAACTTTGGAAAAGGTGGAGTCTTCACCCCACTCCTGAGTTAGAGGCAAATACTTCAACCACATAATTAAAGTTTTCTTCACAAAATAGGGAATTGTGAGCAGACCCTGGCAGGAATCCAAAATTCTAATTTCTGACTATGATTTAATTTCAATTTTAAATAAATCGGTTTTTAATTTAAAAAGAGTGAGCTTCATAACATTAGCAATGATTGCAACATTAAGCCCAGTGTTCACAATCTAGCAATATAAAACATTATTTATATCTGAATCGTAAACAGCCTTTTGAAATGGATTATGGTTTTTCTCCCTATTCTAATACAACCTGGAGGGTACTAAAAAGTGTTGTGTGAAATTAACATTCTGCTGACTTTCGCCTATAAATGAGAAGCGAGCTATTAACATTTGTGTATTTTCATTATGTAAATTGTGTTAACACATGCCCACAAATTGCCACCAGCAATGCAATAATTTTCTCTCAGTGATCATAATGTGTCCAAGTGAGTCATTTTGATTATGACATGCTAATTACATATTGCCTTTTTTCAGATTCAGAAAAACCAGGGATCTTTAATGGTAAGCTTTATGAGTTCAGAAAAAAATTCACTTTTCTTTTTCCTGATGGCTGCTTCCTTTGCATGCTTGAATGCCTTGTTTTAAACTTAGCAAATTGCATTTTGAAGAAAATGCAAACCTTTAACTGCCTGTATTAGATTAGGTACCATTAGAAATAATAGAACATCCTGAGCATCCATGTTTTTATAAGAGTTTGCTGTTGTTGATTAATCTTGCTATATTTTATTGCATTAATGATTTTTCTTTCCACTCCACTGTAAAGATATTGCATAGAGGCTAATACTTTTCCCTCTCTTCTTTCCCGTTGCAGCCTCTCCAGCTTCTGCAGTGCATTGTTGATGAGGTGAGGCATCGTCTTATGTGCTTTCACTCCTAAAGTCATTCCTAATGGTGTGGAAAGCTTATATTTTGTTTCCTAATGAAGCACAATGCCCAACATCCTCAGAGCAAGTTGTGCTGCATGGCTCTGAGCTGTGTTACGTGAACTGGCCGTCCTGCATCCTGCTCTGAGCATCCCTGCCAAAACAGACTGTCCCACAGGCTGGTCCTCAGGGCTATCAGGACCCCTAAAGACAAAACACGATAATATTAATTTATCCTCTCCCTGGCCAGATGGGGATGGAGCCAGAAATTAAAGTGGTATTTTTTTTTCCATAACAGATATTTGAAGTCATTCAGTAAAAGCAAGGGTCAGAGTTGAACAGCAAACATAAGCTGAATAAAATCTGTCTTCCTTGCTTTATTTACCCAAAGCATGTCAGAGTGATAAAAATATTCGAAAGCTCTAGGTCAACAGTTCAGCTTCAATTTTCTAATTAGACATTTTCCCCAGAATACATCCCTAACTTCTTGTGCTTGTAACTAGCAGTCTCGCGTTTTCAGTCATTCTGCCTTTGATCATCCTTAGCCATTGAGCTCCTCTGTCCATTGTGCCTGCATGGAGGTAATCTGCCTGCATTTCTTTCTCGGTCAACTTTTTCTGCTTCTTATTCTGACTTTACATTCCTTTTTTCTGTACACAAGGCTCTCAATTAAGAAACATTAACATTTTCTTTAAAAACCCGAGTTTTTCTGAACTTGGGTTTGCCTAATAGCAATGTTTTGTTTTGTTTTACTTTAATTTTACAATATTTAAAACACTTGTAATGAAGGCAATAAATGACTCAGATAGGAAAGTTTGAAAGAAAAAAACAAATCGTAACTCATAATTATTCCTCTCAATTAAACATCTGTATAACTAGTTATGAGATTTGGGAGAAAAAATAAAGATCCTCCTAGGAAAAAAACAAACGCATACACATATCCCGATAATAGTAAGAATGGGGCTCTCACATCCTTAATGGTTGCATCAGTCAGTCCATATATCCCCTACAAACCATAAACCATGTTGGTGCTAAAATGAAGGCATCGTCCTGAAACAAATGGAGGCCCCATTATCTCAAATATCAGACAGGCCTCCTGGATCTAATAGCTCATCAATATTTTCTGTCATCTTAGATTCCAAAAGCATCCTATCCCTATCAGAGTCCTCCCAAATAAACTGATTTTGCCGAGGCCCTCCTCCAGGATTGGTTAGGGACGGGCCCGTGGGCCCTACTGTTCATGGTCTGCCCTGCTCCTGGGCATCAGAATGGTTGGGTACAGATATTCTTCACCAATAACGTATCTATTGCTAGAGAGCTAATGTGAAGGTTTTCTGGATCAAATGGATGTTTTCATGACTTATTTAAAGTAGCAGTGATTGATATTAAATTTAAAATATTTTACTTTCTTGATTTGGGCAAATTCCTAATACTCTTGAAATTGTCATAGGAGATGTGCTGTGAAGGAGGGAAGGGCTGTGTGATGAAGGCCCTATACCATGTCACTTAAATCGTATGTGTGTCTTTATAGCATTTCTTCCTCAGTTGAGAAAATAACTTAGACACCTATCCCCATTTACTCTTAACATATACTAAAATATCTTTTTTATAGAAACTTGGGGGATTCACAGTGCCTTTGCCAAAACAAACATAAATTGATCTTGGAACTGAGCTGCTGTTCAAGAATAAGAGTGTTGGGAAAGAACTGGCCAGGTGGACTGACTTAGGCAAGGTGCACCATACCTTCTAAGAAAGAAAGGACTGGTGGGGTCCTTTCATTACTGTGCTTGCCCCATGTTGATCAGATTTCTGATTGCTGTGAAACTGTGGCAAAGGGTAGTCCAAGGACTACCTGCATCAGATTTACCTAAGGCACTTCTTAAAAATGCAGATTTTACACCCAGATCACCAGATTAGACTTTCTAGGGGTGGAACCCAGGAATCTACATTTGTACTAGTTTCCCAGGTAACTCTTTGCATATTAAAGTGTGAGAACCTCTTCTGTAATGGATTTTTAGGGCTAAGACTGCCCTGTTAGCTCCCAGAGGAGATTAACTATCTTATCTTCATTTGCATCTGGCTTTTAGGGCTCCTATTCCTGAGTGAATATAACCAGCCAGGATTTGAACCATTTTACTCCTTGTGTAAGGGATATACTCCATTGAGAAATGGATATCCAATGATAATATATTGTGCCTGTTAGAGAAAAGTCAGATCAAAAAGTACCACCCCTAAGGGAGCCTAATCCAAACAAGATGGATGTATTCAGAGTCCTGTACAAAGTAGCCAAGTAAAGCCCAGTGTTAACGTACCTCATTATGATGTGGACGCGGCTTGACCTCATGGCATAGGCTGGCAAAACGTGAAGAAGCATTAAAACAAGACCAAGGGGACAAGAGCCAGCCCTCGAGTGGCTGGAGGTGAATGTCAGAGCCAGTCTGGGAGGTAGAATCCCAGGACAAAGCCAGAGTCAGACACCAGATGTCCAAATAGATGACACCAAAATTTAAACAGAGGCGTAAGAATCATGAACATGAAACTTGGACCACAGAGAAGGAGTTGGAAGGGTAGCAGAGATAACAGGAGAATCAAGCTCCAATCAGAAATCTGGGCAATCCAGTTTCATTTTGGTGGCTGGAGTTTCATCTGGCTTGGAGCTAGATCACTCAGCATATGAGCTCACTCAGCGTATGTCTTAAAGACACTGTCTGATGCCTCAGAGTTGCTTCTCTTAAAAGAACTTCTTACTTTAAAGCATTCAGGCTTTGATCAGGCACTCTCCAAGTCCCTGAATACCTATGTTGTGAAGTACTTTGGTTCATTGTAAGTGTGTGTGTGTGTGTGTGTGTGTGTGTGTGTGTGTGTGCGCGCGCGCGCGCGCGCGCGCGTGCAAGGGCATGCGCACCATGTTGCCCTAGCCATCTGAAATCTTTGGGGAATAAGGTGGCCCTAATTGTCTAGATAACTGAGATTTACTATTTTAAACTCTGACATCAGTGAGGAAATTTGCATTTTCAGAAAGAAATGTTTCTAAAATCTATTTGCTCTTGGCAGCCTGTTGACAGAGTGTAGTGAATATCATTTAACCTTTTCTTGATGAGGCTCAAGTCCTTGTTTTGAACATGGTACTGAACTAAACTTTGATATATTGATGCCCTCTAGGGCTATGGAATTATATGGGGCTTGCCTTGCTCTCGCATTGAATTTTACCAACCATTTTGCCTGTGTCTTTGATGTTGGCACCCAGTGATGTGCCTGGGCCTCTTGAGGTGTGTAGAGCTGTTTGCTCCCAGGCTAAATGACCCTACATGGTTGTGCAGCTCTGCTTCGTGTCTTTCCTGTGTTTCCTCTTATCATTGCCTCTGTTTTCTATGGTCACTCCTTGTTCTTTTCATTGACTACCTGCTGTCCCAGTGATCTGACCATCTGTTTTCAGTCTTTGCACTCCTAGCAAAACTAAAAGTGACAAGTGAAATAAAGTGGTATGTGTAAGGTCTGACATACTCATCTGAGAAGAAAGATAGTGCTTGAACCCCTCTTTAATGAAGTAAAGTGGGTGGGCTTGTGTTCATTCATTTAGCAGAAAGTTATCAAAAGAACCCACTATATGCTAGCTTAAGTTGAATGAGCCATGGTCAGGACAGCCTCCAAGCCTTGAGAGAACTGGGCTTCTCTCAAGGTTCTCTCAACCAGACAAGGGACCCAGGCCAACTGCAGACTAGGTCTGTGACTCAGGGTAGGAAGGCAGAAGTACTGTGCCAAATCCTGGGCTGACACAGAGACTCAGGAGGCTATGAAGCTATCAAACACTCTCCCTATTGTCTCGCCTAAGAGTATGGAGACTGAATGGACAACTGGGCAAGGAGCCAGGGAGCCAGTTTGGCTAGCAACGAAGGGCTGGCCCCACTGGCGATGTGGCAAGTGGACATACAGGAGTAATGCCTGAGTCACCAAGTTCCCCGACCGGTTGGAGCCAGTTGGTGGGGGCCATTAGTGGACTGAGGTGCTGGGAATTGCAATGACTAAAGTGGGGACTTCCCCCTTGACCTGCCCCCAAGTAGTCCATAGCCTTGGAAAAGATGTGGACACAGAAATGATTAATTATTCCTTTGTAGGGTGCATACTATACAACCCCTAGACAGGAGAGTTTGCTTTGCCAGGAGAGGGTTTGTTCTGAAAGTGTGCCCCTCAGGGAAGGTGACATTTAAGCTAAGTCTTAAAGGAGAGTAGAAGTTTGCCAGGGCAAGAAAGGAAAAAAATAAGCATCAGCTAGAAGGGCTTAAAACTTTCTTGTGAATCATTTTTTAGTTCACAAATGTGTTTTTGAATGTTCAGGCTGTCTAAAATATGACAACCAGGAAAATAGATTATTACTCTGAATATATATATATATATATATATATGTATGTATGTATGCACAAACTTTTAGTGGTCAGTAATGGCCTACAGTTGGGCCAGGTGTATAGACAAACAATGAGCTTGATTGGTTAAGATGCTAATTGAATAATTCTGAGTTATAGTGATTGTTCTTCCCTAATGAGGATAGAAAGGGAGAGGGTTTGGTGTTAGGAAAACATGACATAGCACATGGCAGAGCATCTAGGTGGATCTGCTGGATAGTTTACTCTTCTGCTTACTCTAAGAAAGCCTCCTGAGGAAGATGAACACAGAGCAAGGCTTTGATAGAGGACACTGACGTATGCAGAGTATGGAGACTGAATGGACAACTGGCCAAGAGCCAAGGGGTCCAGGAGGTAGAAAACAGAGGTAATTAATAACAGAAGGAAATTTGGGGAATTCACAAATATGTGGAAACAACACACTGCCATAGAACCAATGGGACAAAGAAAAAATCACAAGGGAAATTAGAAACTACTTTGAGATGAGCAAAAAATGAAAACACAGTACACCAAACCTTATGGGATACAGCGAAAACTGTGCTGAGAGGGAAATTTTTAGTTGTAAATGCCTACATTAAGAA